TGTTTCCCACATACCTGCTATTGGATACAAACTTAATATTTATTTTGAAAATCTGAGAGAAAAAAAATCTCCTGTCTAACAAACAATTTTTAATAACACAGAAGAAAAATGCAGAGACCACTCTTAAGGTGGAAGACCTTTGATTTTGCAACCAGTTATTTTTCATCTTGAACTGTTATTTAACTAAGACATAAACATCACAGTGCTAACACATTAGTCAGCATTCACAGCCAATTTCAAGTCCACAGATATACTGCTAGACAAAGTTTCCTCTTTCCAAAAGGAGACAGAAAAAAGGCTTTTTGAAACCAAAGATCATCCTAGAAATGCTTTGCAAAATGAACTAATTACATTTAAAAATAAATCCTCCATGTAATTATCAGATGACCATAATTTTTCAGATATTTAAAATAATTCTCCCAGACTTAAAATGTTTCTAAAAGGATATTAAATAAAAAGCTGATTAACATGTCATTTAGTGCCTTCTACAAAACAGAAAAAAGTAAAAATTAATGTTACTGTACTTTCTTCTATGTTTGGATGACAGCACCATGTGATAGGATAATAATGTATTGCCCAGCACCAAAAAAGGTTCTTTGCAGTTTCAGATTGTGCAATGTTTCAGAGTAATGCATTAATGTTACTCTCTTGTTAATAAAATGTGAAACACACAATTTTTAAGGTTGTATACTTTTAAAGTACTTATCAATGAAAGCAACAGTTTTGTTGAAGATAGTCCAACAGGATGACTGCTAGCCTTATTTTTTCCCAGACTAGGGCCATTTTTTGGTAAATTCCACAAAAACATGAAAAGAAAACTTTTTCTTTCTTGAATTCCTGAACTGCCCGTTATAGTGCTTGGCATAAAGTTCTTGCCTTGTGGATGTGTGCTAGGAAGCAGCCGTTCCAGTACTGTAGTCCAGTTTTATGTCAGCAAGGTTTCATTTTGGCACTGCCTCCTTTCTGACAGTCTCAACTCAAGCAAGAAACTCTCTTTGTGATGGTGTCCTTGACATTGTAAGGAATGTATTATCTCTGCATTTAGCATCTCACCTGACAGCCTGCCGTTGTCTTTCCAAATGAAGTGTCTGAAACCAAAGGCTCCCTGTGGATATATCAGGCACTGCTAACCCTTTCTTTGCAGACTGTTGTTTAGAAATACAGCTCTTACAAAGAATTTCTCATTCTTTTATTTCTGAGGTGATTTAGAAGGAAACGGATTTTGATTAGCAGTTAAAGAGAGGTTTATCAGCTACTTTTTTCTCAAAGTTAGAGGTTCTTGCTGGCATCACATGCCAACATTCTCCTAATTGTCCCAGTGTTACATTAAGACAAAGCATAATCAGTTCTCAGTTTCATATCATCATAGTTATAAATAGTCAGTCAGCATCTTCAGACACACTGAAATTTTTCTGCAGACTCTCTGCATTAATTTCCAAATTCCTAATATTTAGTAGCAGGGAAGCATCCAGGAATTTTTAGTATCACGATTTCTAAAAGTTTAATTCAAATATACTCTGCATTTTGTCTGAGAGTTGTTGAGCTGCAGACATCTTGGTATAAGTAGCTATGCTTTTATACTCAAATGAATATAATGTCATAACTAATTTAAATATGATTGGGAGCATCAAAGGAAGCTGAAGATGTGGTAATTTCAATTTGCTTGTCTTTTTGAAATTTTGTGGTACTCAAGCAGGTTATTTCACTATGTCTGTTGACTTTCTTGCCCACAGTGGATACCATTACTGCTCAGAAATTAATTATCATAAGTCCATGGAAGTTCATAACATTAGTACTAAGACAGCTGTAGTCAAGAGAACTTTCCTGAAGCCATAAGATGTTATACTTTGAAGAAATTGCAACAAAGTATTATTAACTGATTTAAAATATCATTTCTAATTCCAGAAATTAACTGGAATAATTTGCCCACCAAAATAAAGAAACAGTAGATTTTTCCAAATCAAAATTATTTATGGAGAACAATGAAATTTAAAATAAAATTCATCTATTTGCTAAAACCAGAGAGAATTTCCCAAATGAAAACGAGATATAGAAATCAAGTTTGTGCTTTGATCCTTTTTTTTGTCTCACAAAGAAATGTGCCAGAATGATTAAAGAGTTGCATTTCAGTCTGGAACTTAATTGTACATGATAAACCAAAGTTCACATGACTTTGGGGAATTTTTTAACTTAAAACTACAAAGTTTCATTGGAGTCTGAATTGGAGAAAAGTTCTTTTATTTTACTAGCGTCAAATTAGAGGATTGTTTTCATGCTGAATGTATTTCTAAAGAACCAGAGTACAGAAAAACTGCCATCTGATTAACTACAGTGAAACACAACTGGAACACTTGCAGAGAACTTTTATATGCTTGGCAACTCCTGTGACTATAAAGGCTTTTATTTAAAATATATATGACAAAAATTTATAAGGAAAATCAAAGATTGCAAGAGAAATTTTAGACATATTTTCAAATGGCCCAAAACCGCAAAAATAGTTCAGCTATTTAGACTAACCATAATTATTTATATTATGAGAATTTTTATCTTGTGGAAAACACTGGGAATGAACAGACTTTCTGCAGAAGGACAGAACCTGCCTCAGGAACAGTTTAAGATACACAACAGAACTGCAATTATGATGATTGGTGAGCATCAGAGCATCATTTCAATACAAAAAGTTTTCCCTTTTAGTCTTACAAGAAGGCTGTAGAGACTTCACTCCTCTGGTAAACAAGAATCTTCTGAACTCTATCTAAAACTGATAATTTCTAATGTTCTGTATGTCATGGCAGTATTCAGTCATGGTGTCTTTCCCCCCCTAATGTGCTAGGAAGATGAGTCAAACTCATTGAATCTTGTCTCATAAGATGACAACTTTATATACACTCCTTTTGGCTTTTTCCTCCATTCATTCCAGTTTGTTCTTTCTGAGCCAGCCTGAGCACAGGTACAGATAGTATTTTGGATGGAATTTCCGGAGTGGCTTGCACAATGGCACTGAATTGCCCATTTCCTCCTGAAAATGTTTTGCTGTGTGTATTCCAGGATCATAACTTTTCCTCGTAGTCTTCCTATAACAAAGACAGCCCTCTTTTCATCAGCTTTTCTAGTGTTTCCTCCTAATGCGTTCCCAGTTTACGGCCCTCTTTTATTAAACACCACATAAATGGCTTTTCATCTCAAATTGTGAACTTTCTCGATTTCTATTAATCCTCAAGATCATCCAGACACAATTTGTCACATTACTAAGAATTCTTCTTAATATTATCTTATTAGCAGGTGTCTAGATTGGGTAGAACAGCAATTCAGGGAAGTCTTTAATATTATTAGAAAAAATTGACCCTTGCTCTCTGTGCAAATCATTCTGTTAATCACCTTGTTATACTCCACCCCTCATATGCTTTTTCATTAGCCTACATTTCATAATTCTACCTGTGGTTTTCTTAACATTAATAAGCACCACACATTTTACTTAAGTTAATGATAAAAAAGCCACAGACAAACAGTAGAGACAAACATTACAAGGCATGCTGAGAATCACTTCAGAAAACATAATATTTCCTTCAAAATGTTTCAAGAAATGCCTAGAATATTTTCCTTTTACATATATAGATAAGAGTTTTTTTCTGTCTTTCTTAAAGAATAGTTTATCTAATTTTTGACAGTAATTCAAGTCCTTAAAATTATTGAAAATCATTTGATCTGTGAATATTTCTAGAGGGTTTAATCAGATTTAATGCTCCAGCTTCACAGACTTACTTTTGCTTTGGAGAATTGTACACTCTCTAAATGAAAACTTCATTAGACTTATTAACAGTTGTTACATGGCTTTGTGCAACTTTTTCAAACCCAGCTATTAATAGTGAAGGACATTTTTTTCTTTTTCTTTTTTTGGTGAAATGGCAGAATTTTGTGCAGAATGCATATAGGTTTTTTTAGAAAAAGCTACTTGAAAAGGAAAAGAAACTTCTGAACTTCTGTCAGGAAAAAATTTCTAATAGAAAATGTTCAACTTCTTCTGTTGCCAGAGTCCTTTTGAATGTCCTAATCTCAGCTGGTCAAGTGACTACCTTTTCTAGCTATATTAACACCAGCCTGGCATCAAATTGCCTTTCTCTAAATCCACAAAACTTTCCTGGCAGTCTGTGTTACCATTTTTGCAGAGGGATCCCATGTAATTACACCAAAAGTGCATAAAATGAAGATGCCTCTCCTTTGGTTAGGCACCAGTTCAGCTCTCTTTGGAGCAATGTACCTGGTGTGGGGTCTGCAACTCAAGGAACACGCTGCAAAATTGGAGAGAATTCAGAGAAAAACTGTGAGACTGGTTAGAGGTGAAACACAGGTACAGAACTGACTTGCAAGAGAATGTGTTCAGTTTGTTGAAGAGAAGGTTAAAGGGCTGCCCAACTGCATCCTCAAAGTGGATCCCACAGAGCAGGAAAAAATATCATGGAGGTAATTTTGAAACAACAAGCAAAACTATTGGAAGACCCAGTGATGGGAAGCTGATATCATGCAAAAGCTAGACCACAAGCAAGATTCCAGTCTTTATTATGAACACATGAGGAAGAAATGCAGTAGTTTCTTTATGATTTCCAAACAAGATTTGGTCTTTTTGAAAAAAAAACAAGCATGGTCTATTTAAACATAACTATTGTATTTGAAATAGTAGATAATTCCAGAATATAATGGTTTATGCAGTGGAACTGAGGAGATAGCTACACTGGTCCCATCTGTCCTCAAAATAATGATTTACTGAATGCATTTTCTCTGACATTACACTGTACAGTCATAATGTGATTATTTCAGTCTGATTCTTTTTCTTCTGTCTTCTGTTATGTCTTGTTTGCCTTGCTGGCTTTGCACTTTTTAAATTTCTTTATTGTTGTATTTATTTATTTATTTGTTTTGTGTGTGTTTGTGGTTTGTTTTGTTTTTGGTTGGTTGGCTGTTTTGTGTTGGTTTGGTTTTTTTGTTTCTTTCTTTTGCTCCAGGAATTGGCCAAGGGGTTCCAGTGGTGGCCCTTATTGTGGAAGGAGGTCCCAATGTCATCTCCATTGTTCTGGAATACCTGCGTGACACTCCTCCTGTTCCTGTTGTGATATGTGATGGCAGTGGCCGAGCATCTGACATCCTTGCCTTTGGCCACAAATATTCTGAAGAAGGAGGGTAAGTAATTTCATAGCATGTGTTCTTTCTCCATCCACAGGTTCAATTCAGTGATAAAGTAGAGCACAGGAAATTATTAACCATATTGTACAGAAGCAACACCTACCTCACATGGCCATTTCCATGTTTGATATGGGTAAAATTTTGAAGGTATTCAGAGCATAACAAAACAAGACTTAAAACAAGCCTCATCTCTGAGCCTGCTCTGCTTTAGGCTGGAGAGTCACAGCTCCCTCAGCCTTTCCTCATATATGGGGTCATCCAGTCCCTTCATCATCTTAGTGGCCCTGCTCTGGCAGCAGCAGCTACTCCAGCCCTGGAGAAAATTACTCTGTAGTGTGTCACCACCATACGTGAGATTGTTTATGACAGAAAAAATTAATTTGAGGAGCCCTTCTTTGCATCCTCTTGAAGAAGTTTGGCTGTCTTCTTGGTCTGTCTCTTGGATAGGCCTTTCCCAGGAGCCAGTTAACAAGGATTTGGCTCTGCCTTGTAAGGGTTCAGTTGCAAATAAGGCTACAGGCATCCTAGATCAAGAGTAGCAGCATGTCCATTAGAAACTGCTGAAGCTTTCTTTGTCCACAGCCTTGTGGCTGCCCTAACCTGTTCCTTACCTGACAGCTACAAGCACGCTCAGAGGGTTTCCAAGTGTTCAGCAATGATCATGGACTTTTCCTCCCAGAAGTTCCAAAATCAGAACTCAGTCTGATGCCCAGAGTAGAAAATAACAAATAAAGGGAAGATTTAACAATTTAAAAATATAAATCTGTAAACACTGAGCTCTAGACCAAGCATGTCTTATGTGTTTTAGAAGCAAATGTGATGATGAACTCACTCAACCCAAAACTCCTACTGGGAAACAGATCGTTTTCCACAAATGCTTAAATCTATTTTATATTCAGGTTTGTGCTTAGTACAGCGTTACATCTGTCAAATATATGAATGTGCCAGGTTTCACTGAATCTTTGAGAAGTTGTTTCTCTGTTTTCAGTGACCTCGCTGATAACACTTCACATAACATATTCTTTATGCTTGTATTTGCCATGTACATCTGTACATCAACCTTGTCTGTGCTCTCATATCACCAGAAAGGAAAAAAAAAAAAAAAACACAAAAAAAAAACCAAAAAAAAAAAACCAACCAAACAAACAATTGTTAAGTCCAAAACCACCAAACAGGAGGAGATTTAATTAATTTATTTGAATATATAAATGGAGCTTGTATGAAAGGTTTTTTACAAGGACCTGTAGTGACAGGACAAGGGGCAATGATTTAAAACTGAAAGAGGGTAGCTTTAGACTGGATATAAGTAAGATCCTTTACAGTGAGTGTATTGAGCCACCAAACAGGAGAAGACTTAATTAATTTATTTGAATATATAAATGGAGCTTGTATGAAAGGTTTTTTACAAGGACCTGTAGTGACAGGACAAGGGGCAATGATTTAAAACTGAAAGAGGGTAGCTTTAGACTGGATATAAGTAAGATCCTTTACAGTGAGTGTATTGAGGTACTGGCATGGATGCCTTGAGAAGCTGTGGATGCCCCATCCCTGGAATTGTTGCTGGCCCTGTTGGATGGAGCTCTGAGGAACCTGGTTCAGTGAAATTTGTCCCTGCCCATGGCAAGAACGTTGAAATTGGATGATCCTTAAAGATCCTCTCCAACCCAGACCATTTTATGATTCTGTGAATTTATGATGCTGTGGTTCTATTTCATCATCACAAACTCTTGCCTGTAGAAAAGGCAAGTTATGGTATCCGTAGAGGCAGAACAAGCAATTTCTTACCTGACACTCTCATATCTGGCTTTGTGAAAGGTATTATTCTGTCTTACTATGGGTCTTCTTAATGTCAGGGTCCCATTCCAGATTGTTTCCTGAAACATTATCAACCAACAAAATTACTCATTTTTTCTGTTCACTTTGCACTAAATAGAATGCACAAACAAGGAAATTTGCCAAACGAGCTAGTGGAAATGTCTGTGTATTCATCCTTGTTCATAAAACACCACTCTGGCATGCAGTGATATTTTTAATAATACTAGAAGTAAAACATCAATATCATTATATTCATTAAAATATTTTATCCAAATTAATTAGACTTCAACTACAAATTGGATCCTTTTTCCCTGTCTCTAACCTATGTTTGAGTAGCGCTTAGCATTATGAGTAGAATACCAAATAAGCGCCATGTTAACTGAATTCAGCTAATAGCTGTTTCTTTTGGATATGATCTAAGTAGGTTATACAAAACTGTGTTTATTAAACTCTAAAGCAAGGTAATACATCTAAGTTACATGCAAAGTTTAATTCTGCAGTAACTGTGCAATCAGACTATCAAGGTTATCAGACTATCAAAAACCTATTTTAAATCTGCTCTCCTGTCAGAAGCAAGGTGTTCTCTGAGACACAGCATATCTTCAAGCTGCTATGGACTGCGTACCTGATTTAAATAATTCAACACTTAGATGATTAATGGTAGAAACAAATTCACTTGCACAGTTATATTATTATGCTTACTTTGCACAATCTTAAATTCTAACTCAAGGCAGCCCAACAAGGATTAATTTTCTACACATAAAAATGTGTGTGTGTGTGTCTACTAAGCACTGCTGTGAGATCTATGAGCTTTGAAGCTAATTTGAAAGTTTGTTTCCATGGAGAGATTAGCTATGTCTGGAAATGACAGAGAATAAATACATCTTTCTGCTTGACTTTTTATCAGTGTTGTGCCAATCCATCCATTTAAAGAAATCCTTTAGTGTATTGAGCAATTGCCTATCTGCCCAACAGGTCCTTTTGTATCGCGTGTCAGAGAATTGCATTGCGCCAGCCTTCCCTCCTTGTTAATTATTCTTCCTAGAATATTCTACAGAGAAGAAAAATTAATGATTTCTTATATTAACAAATGCAGTACAATGCCATTGCTGGTGCATCTTTGAACGGGCAGGAGACAAGCTTCAATCAGTCTTTTTAAGGCCCAGTTGTAGGCTCTCCTGATGACAACGTTTCACATCCATAGGAGTTTGGAGTTGAGTAGGAGTTTTCAGTGTGAGAGCAGCCTCAGTGGAGGAGCTGCCAGCACAACCCGGAGCTGTGCCCGCACTGCCTCGCAGGAGGTGCCGCCTGCCGCCCTGCGAGGCACCACAACCACAGCAGAAGGAACGGTGAAGCACACCTTGAAGGAAAAGTCTTTGAGGGAAAATCAGTTTGGGGGTCTCATTGTCTCATCTCTCTAATTGAAGTTTCAGGGGGAGGTAAGGCACACGTGCAGTTGTCCACTGAGCTGAGGTTTTAGCATTATGAGTGTCAGGTACACAGAAATAACATCGGGGGAGGGTTTAAATTTACTAGGGCTGTAATATCAGGAACTAAATTTTGGTTCCTTGGTCTGGAAAAGTCTGTAACAGAGTCTTAAGAATTCAATAGGTGGCTACATTTCAGTACAAGTAAATAAAATTCTCAGAAGTAATTTAGTAGAGCCGAGTAAATTCCTGGTACCTTTTACATTTTAATGACAAACAAGGTATGCCCACAGTATAACTTAAATAAGAAGACATCTTAAATGCAGCATTCCCCATGTGGTAAATTGGAAGGATTATTTGGCTGCTTTTCACTATTGGCCTTGATTTAAAGGTCAGGTTTTTCAGGCTCTGAAGCATTTATTTTTTTCTTTTACTTGAAAATACAATGAACACCATTGGGGAGTGAGAACATAAGATCAATCATAAAAATGTAAATTTAGTCTCTACTATGCCCTAAGTGTATATCTTCATTGGTAGTAAATCTCCTCCATGACAGCTGGAGTATTTTGGATTGTATAATCAAGGATGGATGCCTTTTCATTTCATTTACTTGCATAAAAGCAAAAGCTGAAAGTAAAACAAATGTGAAGTGCAACTTTATTGGAATGCTTTGAAGCTTTTAATTCTCAGACTTTTTTTTTCTTTATTAAATACTGAATTTAAAATTCAGTAGAGAGAGAAACAAAACACTAGGTTAGAATTATGTCACTTCTTAGAAAAATATTTCCTTACTGAATGAGAAATTACTTGCAATATTTGAATGCAGTCTCCAAGTTGAAATTATACCTCATTAACTACTCTATCAGTTCTACTCCTACAAGCATGAGAATCTTAAGAGTTCAATTTAATGCCATAAAAATGTACTTCTTGCCTAATGTTCGCAAGGAAATACCAAACATTCTCTGCGCTTTAAATGAGCATCCTCATATGGAAATCATTAAAGATTACCTTTGGACTGATCTTTCTCTGCATCACTGTGGCATAGGTTTTAGGATTAAAATCTGAAGACTGTTATTTAAAAACATTTTTGCTATTAGGCAAAATACAGGAATTTTAAACTTTGAGCAAAAGGGATCATAATGTATGATATCGTTCTTCAGTATCCCCCACGGTCTGTACCGCAAGACTGGGAATCATGGATCCAAATAATGTCTGAATTAATTTGTAAAATTAGTTTCACATTGCATATTTTTATAACATTACTTTTCTCTTGTAACAAAGTACTTTGCAAATCAAAACCAGGACACAAGAAGGTCAATTTGTTGACCTTGGGAGGGTCAATATATTAATCTCTCTTTTGGTGAAGAAATAGCCCTTCAATAAATTGTGGTCAGGGAAAAATTATGTAGAACAACTACCAGTGAAGGTCTGCAGTGAAGCTGATTCCTCATAAAAGCACACAGAAATCATCCCTGTTTGCCCACAATAAGGGAATAACCACATATCATTTATTTTATTACTACTAATAATAATAATTTATTTATTACAAATCATTTATTTTCTGTCTTTTCACAGAACAATGATATGTAAAATGTGTGGATTTGAAAATGTGTAAGACACTCAGCCAGTCCTGCAAAATTGCACAACTGTACCTTATTTGTAATCCAGTGGAAAAAAATATGACCAGAGGCTTTGGTCATGTTTCTTACATAAGGTGTGATTTTCTAGAGTGCAAATCATAATTAAAACAAAAAA